ATATATACATATACAGTCTGTATAAAGCACATCACTTTTACAGGTTAGTAGCATGTCCACGCAACTGGAGCATAACTCGCATTCCACCTTCTATATACAGTAAACAGGCAGGTGCAGCACACTTCTATTTTTGTTTGATTCATTAAAGATGCAAAATAACAGCAACAGTTTTGCGCATGCCATGTCAAGTTTTAAGAGCATACGTTTTCTAGAAACTAGTGCTGTTATTTGCATCTTTGTATCGAATGAATAATATAAATGCTGTAACTGCCTGTAATGGGCAAGCACTTAGAGGACTTAGTATAATTATTATTGCTGAGAAAAATACTGTTGTTTTTTTTTTTTTTTAACGGGACATTTTGCTGGGAGGCAGCCCACTTTTCTCAAGGCTTACACAACCTACAAACAATATACACCCAAAGAATCCCATCCTTCAAATCTATATCCCCTTCCCGCATCCAATTGTTAACACCCATGTAAATATACCAAATATTACACATGAAAACAAAAGGACAACATCTGTCACTAGTAAAGGTAAGTAACTAATAACAGCGTTACCCTAAATTACATACAACTAAGAAAAATGTGAAAAGAGAACAGATAATTGAGTGGATGACAACAAATTACACCAGCAGGGGTGCAACAGAGCTCAGCAGTATCTCCATGATTTCAGCCATGAGGACACCCTTCTGATATAGAGTTCAGGTACCACTTGTCTGCAAGTTACTAGTTTTCCTTTAGTTCATTTATAATACCTTAGTTGTAAATAAGCATGCTTGCATCATAAGAAGGTGTTTTTGAATTGTAGCCTTCTATGTATTCCATGTATTTTCTCACTGAGAATGTTATTCATATAGTATTCTGGAAGAGTATCGTGAATTGTATGAATTGCAGAGGAGTCGTTTGGAGAAGCAGGTTGTCCACCTCACAGAAGAAAGAGATCTTTGGAGTTCTGCCACATATAGGTTGGCTAGAAAGGTGACTTTTACCAACTATAGACAGCCTAGTGTAAAAGACTATGACACATTTTGTGCTTATAGATGGTGCATGTTATAACTTGATTGCTTTAACTTGGTCATATGTTAGCATTTGATCTGTAATAATGTCACTGTGTTCTTTGATTTAGGTAATAGAAGGCAACCAGCTACAACTTGCTCGTAAAATGTACTTAAGTGAGAAGGCCTGGACAAAGGTGGTCCAGCATTTACTTGTGCTTCTTGCATCAAATGTAGGTTGAAGTATAATTGGGAAAATACAAAGTGTTCTTATGATGTTATCTGCTTTAATTTTTGGATATTAATTTTCCTATAAATAAAATCCCTTTTGAAATAAAAATATAGAACAGCATAGTATGATGCAGGTAGGTGATTACCTACTGTATGTTTATTATTGAAAGGGAATTCCTGACATATTTTTGTATTGTAAGATAGTGCTAATAAATGCTAAAAATTACAAGTTCCCGGTATTTATAGGATTCTTAAACTACCAAGAGATTGAAGCGGGTATTGGATGAATGCATATGTTAAGTAGAAGTGTTCTGTGGTAAGACAAAACTGCTCATTACAAAACTGTAGCAATCTAAAACAATAATTAGTAGGGCTGCAACAACTAATCGACATAATCGATTATAATCGATTTTTAAAATAATCGTTAGCTGCAGCTCTAATAATTAGAATTTGTCTTTCAGTGATGTAGCTCCAGTAAAATATATTCATTTTTTCTAGATTGCTGCATTGTGTACTGGATTGCTGCATTGTGTACTGGATTGCTGCATTGTGTACTGGATTGCTGCACTGTGTATTTTACCATCTCTGTCTACGACAGCCTATCAATTAACTCCTCTTTTCTTAATCACTATGTGTATAGGACACAAAGGACCTTTCCGAAATCCAACAAAGTACCGAAAAATGGCGAGAGCACATGGCCCGCTTTGATCAAGAGGTGAAGCGCAGTGAGGAGTCAAGCAGAGAGAAATTGCAGATTATCTGTAGAGATCTGAAGACATGGCACTCTTATTTTCAGGAAAAAGTCTTGTACGTGAAGATTCTTTTCAGATTTTTTAAACCCTTTCGCTGCCAGAGTTGTTTTTTTTACATACATGTTAAAATGCTCATTTTAGGACTGAAAATTGCTTAAAAACCACCAAAATTACAAATGTTCAGAAAGCAGAGACCCTAGTTGCAATGTTTTATGTCACACAGTTTTATCACCACTGTTTATCAAACCCATTAAGCCTCAAAATTGCGTAAAAGCGGAAAAAAACTTTGATACCCAAAATTGTCCATAAACAATGTGTTAAAAGTCTTTACAGGTCATCAATGTAGTTAACCATGAATAATGGCCCTAGAATTATTGCACTTACTCCAGTATGTGCAGCGATACCTAATGTGTGCTGCAATCGTTTTCATGTGTAGGTGTACTCGACACATACGTTTGTGTTAGTATGTGTGTACACAGAGGAGCACAAGGCATTTCTGGGAAGTTTTTTTATTGTATTTTTCTTTAATTTTTTTTAAAACTTCTATTTTGTACTTTATTACTAGCACATAGGGGGTGTATATGGAAATGATCAGGCAGCTTTACAGCCACCTCAATCACTTTCAGCAGAAAGCCAAAAGTCAGCTGAAGAAGCTATAGCAAACAGGAGTGTGTTTAAAGGCCAATGCTGCTGCCAACATACAGTATAACATACATTGGTGACAGCAAAAAGGTTAAACTGATGAGCCTGTTTTTAAAGTGGCTCAAATAAGAAAAGTCTATGCTGCTTATACCACTAAAGTAGGAATTTTGTTTTCACCGTAAAATAATTTTCTCTGGGTTCATTGAGTAAGCAACTTGATAATCATTCAACAACATAGGGCTTTTCTGCCACCTACAGGAGAAATTGACATTAGTCACAGAGGGTTAGGCACACATGAACACAGGTGAACCAGCCCGACAAGAGAAAACCAAAGCAAAAGGAAAACATTAAACAGCCCCTTGCAGAACCTTTTAACCAAAACTAGCATTTGCCGAAGTTATAAAACTTAGAGAATATATAATTCTTTTTAAATCCCGCACTTGAACACCCTTACAACAGCTGCTATACTACATTTTTTGTGATAATCAAAAATTTATCATTTCCATAATATGTATAAACTCGAAATCAAAGATTTTAATGCTGTATAAATCAAATAACTATGATAATATTGCACGTAGGGATAATCCAAAAAAGGAACCCAATACACTATGTTTTCAATTAAATCCACAATAATACTACATAAAGTATATACCTGTGTTGATATTGCACACATAATAAATCAGTGTCCCACATCTAAGTGATTACATACAGTAAAAACAAATCATCCACAAGTAAGGATTGCCCTTATTCATATTACACATGGAATTAAAAAAGTCCCACATCCTTGCAATTGAAACCAGTGAAATCAATCCATTCACACTAAAGAATCCTCATTCCATGATCCAGATACCATCCAATAATGTGTGATTTCATTTTGAAAACAAATGGTAAAATCAGATTCCAAATGTGCTTCCCTCAAGAGTACGCAATCACCACAGGATGTTCAATATTAAGTGTGGTCAAATAGCGCTTTTTCTAATATAATCCCTCTGTCCTACAGCCTCTCCCTTTCCTTGGTCTTTCTAAAAGATTTAGGAAACAAATACAAAGAATCTCATAGTGTAAAACTGTTAAACATTTTTATTAAAAGTAAAGATAAAAACCAAATAGGACCACCGTAGCCACACCCTCCGGCCGCAATGCAAGCACTATTTTGATCGCACTGCAGGCACAATGTGCCCCGCGATCCCGTGCGGGTGATTGCATTGCGGCCGAAGGGCGTGGCTACGGTGCCATTCACATCAATAGCCCACCACGCCCCCTCCTGCCCGGCAAAAAAGTGAGCCAGCCGCAATGCGAACCCGCTGCTTATGGTGTGAACTAACTCTAAAAGAATGGGTCGCTTTCAGGAGCTCAGTGAATTCAAGCGTGGTACCGTGATATGTTGCCACCTGTGCAATAAGTCCATCCGTGAAATTTCCTTGCTACTAAATATTCCACGGTCACCTGTTAGTGGTATTATAACAAAGTGGAAGCAACTGGGAACAGTAGCAACTCAGCCACGAAGTGGTAGGCCACGTAAAATGACAGAGCGGGGTCAGCGCATGCTGAAGTGCACAGAAGTCGACAACTGTCTGCAGAGTCAATAGCTACAGACCTCCAAACTTCGTGTGGCCTTTAGAATGTCACAACAACAGTGTGTAGAGAGATTCATGGAATGGGTTCCATGGCCGAGCAGCTGCATCCAAGCCTTACATCACCAAGTGCAATGCAAAATGTTAAATGCAGTGGTGTAAAGCACGCCGTCACTGGACTCTGAAGACGTGTTCTCTGGAGTGACGAATCACGCTTCTCTGTCTGGCAATCCGATGAACATGTCTGGGTTCGGTGGTTGCCAGGAGAATGGTATTTGCCTGATTGCATTGTGCCAAGTGTAAAGTTTGGTGGAGGGGGGATTATGGTGTGGGGTTGTCTGTCAGGGGTTGTGCTTGGCCCCTTAGTTACAGTGAAGGGAACTCTTAAGGCATCAGCATACTAAGACATTTTGGACAATTTCATGCTCCCAACTTTGTGGGAACAGTTTGGGAATGGCCCCTTCCTATTCCAACATGACTGCACACCAGCGAGTTCGGGGTGGAGGAACTGACCTGCACAGAGTCCTGCGTTAGATTCCACTGGAGAAAGTGATAATGGCCATTTTAAGCCCTTGCAATCAGGGGGAGCAGAAATTTGCACTAACTTACTGATAAATCTTTGCATAACAGATGAAACTACCTCTGTTGTGAGACAGGAAGAGAAATGAGCACCCAAAGATGAAAGGGGGGTCAGATATAGCCACAGGTACAGATGTTACTGACTGGCATCTGTAAGTAGTGCAGAGGGCACAATCTTTTCTAGCACCAAGGTCAGCATTGCACATCAAGCAGATAGAGACTTTAACTGGTGGGTCTTCTGCAGTTGTAGGGTGACTGCCCTTCTGTTTAGTGGTAGATAACTCAGAAAGAATGTTGTAGGAACAGGCAATACCCCACTCCCCCAGGAAGACTCATGTACCAACTGAGCCTGATTAGATATCAGTCTGTGGAAAGAAACTGATCTATCACTCCATTAGGCTCCATGCACATGTGGCGATCTGGCATTCCTGCGGCAAGAACCAACAGATTCCTGCAGCAGAAAAGACCTATATCTCCCGTTCAGATCCACATGAACTATCCCCTTAAATCAACCTACTGACTCTTCTTAGTATACATTAAGGAGAATTATTTGAATTTATTATGTATTTATACAGGTGAAGGTTACCATTGCTAATATTGGCAGTGTTGGAAGGGAAAATATCTTATAGTTTTGAAAGGATAATATTTTACTGTTTCTATTTAATAAGTTGCTTACTTTGTTCATGCTGATGTGTACCTTAATTTTTGTTCCTTGATTGTATTAGTGTAGATTGGCACTACTACGCAGTACCCGATGACATGGTCGTATCAGTGCTTGAAGACTTGAAAAGCTGGCAAAATGTATGTATGTTTAATAATGTAAAGCAATTTAAACTTTGTAGCTACTACGAAACAAATCTGTGCTCTCTGGTAGGGGTGTCTGGACAACACAACTGGCTAAGGGCTTGTTCACACCAATTGCTGTGCGTTCCAGAGCGGAAGCGTTCCTGCGTTCTGGGGCGGGAGTGGGCATGGCGGTGCATTAAAGCCAATGGCACCGCAGCCACGCACCCCCCTGCATTCCAGAAGCTGCCGCTCTGGAACGCACCGCGATTGGTGTAAATGGGCCCTAAAAGTTTCTTCAGAAGCAGAATTGCAGTCCAAGCACTGTGTACCATAATGTGTCGATAACAATCAGTATGAATAACAACTTGCATAACTTTTATCCCTGTAACAATATTTTTGGCTTATTGTAAATATATATGTTCTCTTTTTCATGTTATTTTCAATATACACACAGATGCTGGCTGAAGAACAGCAGCAGTTTGAGGGGAATAAAGTTCTGGGCAGTCAAGAGTCTCTGAAAGCTGCTGCTGACATCCAGAAGGAATGGTCTCAGGTTGGAGAGGATGTTCTTAGAAGACATCAGGGCTTAGATGGTACTCCTGCTCAGGAGCACAAAGCCATGGACGATCTAAATAACACCATAGAGATGCTATGCGAGCAGTACAGGAGAAGAGTGGAAGGGGAAAATGGTAAGAACCTTAAAAGGACAAAATACATTGTGGTTGCAGTTTAACCCTTTAGCTGCCAGGTCCTGAGCTCTGCTTCTAACCTAAGCTGGCCAGACCATTACTGTAGTTTTTCACCTTTTTTGTAAATTTGCAACTGAAGTTGCAAGCAGCTTTCAGAGTTTGTAAAAGACCTCCCAAACCATACATTTTCTGAAAGCACTGGACCGATAGAATAGAAAGATGATGCTACTAATTTTGTAGGTCTTGCAACAGCTGCACAAATCATTATATAAATAATATAATTATTAAATAAACATCATTTACAAGATTCCTATCAAATCTAAAAGATAAAACTGTATTAAAGTTGTATTAAGGTCTGGGCATTTTTACCTTAAAGCATTCTCTGCATTAAGATCGAAATGCCCATTACCTTTTGGACTCCCCAGTCCTACCCCTTCCCCCCCACACTTACCTGTCAGTGCCGCATGTCTCAATGCGGGGGCCAGGAAGACACGGATGCGGGAACCCAGAAAATTAGGAATTTAAAACTTTTTAAAAAATAGGAACAGACTAAGAAGGTTTAATGTCACTTTAAGTTAATAAATAGGAAAGATTTGTACATTTTAAATTGCGCCTTTTTGCAAAATGATAACAAATAAAGGTACACAAAACTGTAAATAAGCAACATACTTTTATAATTTTTTTCATTACCTTCAGGGGCTTTGGATAAATATTAGGGGTCTAATATTGATATTTCCCTTATGAAATAGTAAAAGAGATTGAGGATACCGAGTCCTCAATCTCCTTTTCTCCAACCCCAGCACCCAATGAACAGGTAGCACTCAGTACAGAGGCGTCCTGTTCATTCACAAACTGAGGAGATAGTAAATGTTTACTGTGTCCCCAGTCATGAATGGAGAGGAAGTGACGTGTAGCACTTCCTATTCATAATAAACACTTACAATCTCCTCAGTTATGAACGAACACCATTGCTGATCACTTTGTTGTTTGTTGTGAAGAGAAGGAGTGGCAAATATTTCAGATTTACTGATCCTCCGCTCTCCATCCTGAAGCGCTCCACCCTCCTCCCCCTGTCACTAGTTATCTCTCCCCCCGCAGCTCTCTACTGCACACTGGGCACCAGCATCATTATCATCTCTGTGTCCCCTCTGATCCCTGTTGTGTTTGCCGATACAGGCGGGGGGAAAGCATTGGGGATCAGAAGGGACAAATACAGTACCATGCAGCCAGTGCCTAGCAGGTAGGAGAGAGCCACAGAGCAGGGGTGGGGAGCAATCAATTTACAATGGTTAACTGTCATGACAGCTGTTCATTTACACAGCACAGGCAGGGGGAATCTTCTGCTATAAGCCGTAAGTGCGGTCTTGCGCCACAGGTCCCACATTTTAAATGTCTTGGTCATAGCAATGGCCATGGCTTGTATGTGCTTTATTCACCCACCCCCATGAACCTCCTCCACCCATTTTGGGGGGGATTTTGTATACACCCACTCTAGGGTTCTGTTGAGTACTGAGTATTTCCAGATATCAAGAAACCAGGAGGTTTCATTCTAATTAATAATGGAAATGAATTGCTAATCATTGAAACAGGGAGATTTCTGTCCATTTTTGGATGTGGTGAGGGCTTTCGGGGTTTACCTTTCTGCCACTGCGTTTTTAAGTAGACTGATTACCTTTTTTCATTTCTGAAGGTTCTGAAAGAGGTTCTTCAGGCTGGTTAGCTTAAGCTGGTTACAAGGCTGGTTAGCTTAAGCTGTGCTCTTTCACATATACACTACATTGCCAAAAATATTGGGACGCCTGCCTTTACACGCACATGAACTTTAATGACATCCCAGTTTTAGTCCGTAGAGTTCAACATTGAGTTGGCCCACCCTTTGCGCTATAACAGCTTCCACTCTTCTGGGAAGGCTGTCCACAAGGTTTAGGAGTGTGTCTGTGGGAATGTTTGACCATTCTTCCAGAAGCTCATTTGTGAGGTCAGGTACTGATGTTGGACGAGAAGGCCTGGCTCACAGTCTCTGCTCTAATTCATCCCAAAGGTGTTCTATCGGGTTGAGGTCAGGACTCTGTGCAGGCCAGTCCACCCCAAACTCGCTCATCCATGCCTTTATGGACCTTGGAGGTCTGTAGCTATTGACTCTGCAGACAGTTGGCAACTTCTGCGCACTTCAGCATGCGCTGACCCCGCTCTGTCATTTTACGTGGCCTACCACTTCGTGGCTGAGTTGCTATTGTTCCCAGTTGCTTCCACTTTGTTATAATACCACTAACAGGTGACCGTGGAATATTTAGTAGCAAGGAAATTTCATGGATAAACTTATTGCACAGGTGGTAACCTATCACGGTACCACGCTTGAATTCTCTGAGCTCCTGAGAGTGACCCATTCTTTCACAAATGTTTGTAGAAGCGTCTGCATGCCTAGGTGCTTGATTTTATACACCTGTGGCCATGGAGGTGATTGGAACATCCGAATCCAATGATTTGGAGGAGTGGCCCAATACTTTTGGCAATATAGTGTATTTTTAAGAAATATAAAACATATTTTAAAGTGTATCTGCACTTACTTTGTCCAGTAGATCGTTGCCTGTCAATTAGTAAGAACCAGTGACACCACTAACATACATAGGACTAGGGACATCACTAATGTAGGTAGGACTAGATACATTACTTATATAGATAGGACTGGGGACATTACTAATGTAGCCCAGTCCAGGGATATCACTAATGTAGAAAGGTCTAGGGACATTCCTTATGAAGACAGGCCTATGGCATCACTTAAGTAGACATCACTAATGTAGAAAGGGTTCATTTATTGGATGCCTTGTTCCTAATCTTTTCTTCTTTCTGACAGGACTTGCCAGAGGTCTCGTGGCATTTTCAAGCAGCTTGGAAAACTGGTCTGTGCCAATGTTTCGACTTAAATATGCCCCCGGCAATATTAAAGAATCTGACTGGTTAAACTTTTATCATCTTCTACCTGAATGGACTGCTCAGGCAGAAAGATTATTGAAATTAACTGGGAGTCCGAATTCAGAAGAGAAACCCATCTTAAACTCAATTGAAAAGTATGAAACATGTTAATTTATAGATTTTTCTTGCAAAGCTTGACTTATCAAATGAACGTTTCTTTTACAAATAGCTTAAATGTGTGCTAGTTCAGCTTTCACTTACAACAGTTGTCCTCTCTTGAAATAGCATTTACAAAAACCGACTGTGGAAAACGCGTGGGTGTGTGGGTGGTTATGGGGAGTGTATGGCTGTAGATGGCCTTTAACAAATACTGAATCATAAATAACATAGGTTTAAAAAAAAAACATAGAGTTGTTTTTAAAAATGAAATAATTAAATATTTACTAATAAAATATTGTTTTGCAAAACATTTATACAAATGTAATAGTACTTCTATACTTCTGCCATCAAAAGAGAGGTACTGTATACACTCAACAAATATACAGATTCACAGCACAACTATGCTTTATAAAGGATACATTGTTGCTTTCACATTTAACAATAGCATAAACACAGATTATAAAATCATCATCATCATCATGTATATCATCACATATCACTAATATTTCATAACCTCCACAGGGTACTATTGTCAATTTTCAGACATCTTTAAAAATCCTTTTGAATATTAAAGCAGTTTGCAACCAACAGAATGGAAACAGCAATTAGCATTTGACGTCACAATGATATCAGCAACCACGGTTGCACACAAACAGGGTGCAGGCTGCAAACCACTGGAGTAGACTTTAGTGCAGCCTTTTCAGCATGTACCGGCAGAAGCTTGGTATTTTTATGCTATACTTAATATGCTGTTTTAATTATTTTTACTGATGTCATTGTGACAGTGCTATTATTATTATTCTATTTGCTGGTGATAATTGTAATATACATGGGAGGGGGGGCTAGTTGAATAATAAAAGATGTCTGACCGTTAAAAGAAGGGCTGCAAAGGTCCTGAAAGTTATTGCTATGTAATATATACCCTTTTATCAAGTGATTCTCCTATTTTGCTGCTGCAAAAGCATTTATAAAGACAGTTGTGCTGTTGACATCTGTGGATTTGGTTTGGATATTGGGGAGGGTCATCCATCTGTTGTGTTTAGCACCCACTACCACTGTTGCCAAGTATGCCATTGTGCAGCCTGTAAATACTCATTCTATAGGTGTATGCATTACTTACAGGTTGGAGTCTGAAGATGTCTTTAAGATGCTGCAGCACTGGGTTCTGAATATCACAAGTGGAATGGAAAGGGACAATGTGCAACTTACCCAGCAGGTTTTTAGATTTTGTTTTATGATTACAATAAAGGCTAATCAATGTTTTTTAAATGCATGCATTCCAGCAATGGCTGCATGACATGCCTGTGGGCGCATTACTTAATGGAGGCAACAGTGGACCATGGCTGTGGAAAGTGTGTTGGCATGGTAGCTTGAAGACTCCATTGGGAGAGTCAAAGTTCGGAAATAAAAGGGTGCCAAATGGAAGGCCAAGCATGCCTTTAATTGTTCACAAATCGACTAAGCAAACAATTGGGAGAGTGACAGTGACAATGCAGGAGAATTATTGGGAGACAAAGAACCATGTTCAAAGTTTAAATACAATTTTGCTGATTGGATTTTCATATACGTCAACATGTAGAACAGCAGACATGTAATGTGAAAACCACATTAAAATGACCTTCAGGTAATGTGTACCCACCTAGAATACAGTAGGGGTTGATTTATGAAAACTGGAGCAGACAAAATCTGCAGCAGCTGTGCATGGCAACCAATCAGCTTCTCTCTTCAGTTTGTTCAGTTAAGATTTGAACATGAAAGATAGATGCTGATTGGTTGTCATGCACAGCTGCTCCAGATTTTGTCTGCTCCAGTTTTCATAAATTCCCTTCAGTGTGGTTTCCCTTTAAACCAAAAGACATGTCTCAGTAATTTTGTGCTGTCTACAAACTTCTGTATTTTGCCTCATATCCAATCATTCTATATAGTCGTGTTCTTGTACACTGTGAGCCATGAAGGTACAGCTGTAGTTTCATTTAGAACATTCTGAATATATCAAATACATCTTTCCTGCTACAGGTAACAACCCTTCACACAGCAATGGTCCAGTACATGGTGAATGTCCTGATCTTATTATCTCCAGACTACTCCTCTGATCCCTCAGACACTACACATACTGGGTTTGGTGAGGAAGAGTTTGCTACTACAGTTCCTGTGCAGAATGTTCAAAAGCAAGCCCTTGAATTATCCGTCAAATTAAACAATTTCTCCATTTACATCATGAGGTAAGCTTATATCTGAATACAATATCCACAGCATACTGATCAAGTGGTTGTGGCCCATTTAAAGTTACACTACAGTCAAAATTGAAAATTAAGCCTTAAAATTCAGAGGAACAGCCCTGAAATATATACAGAAGAACATCCTATCTACTTTTGTTTTTCATCCAGACGTAGCTGTAGAGCACTAATCCATACTGGTCCTTTTTGTCAGTGATCTGGTAAATTTAGAACCCCTGCATGTACTATAGGAGAGGAATTCCCATCTATACTCACTGTAAGTTCCTTGCTGTCTTGTACAGGAAGCTTGGCGTAAAATAAACTTCAGTACAAAGAATTAACACACAGCCACCAATGAGGTTCAAGCCTGACTTATGATTGGTACAGAAAGCATAGAGGAAGGGAGTTGGACAGCTTCAGAAAGAACATTTCCAGTGGCTCTGTGATGTGCTTCCGGGATTCTGTATACAGAGTATTACGGAAAACTAACATTAAGGAAACCTGAGTGAACTTTCTGATTTAGCACAGTTGCAACATTTGGTGGATAGCATTATCATTTCTATGCAAAGGATCAACGAGACTACCTGGGAATGGGTAGGACCTACACTGATTTTCTCAGGTTTTTATTCTCCAGGAAGGGTACCTCTACTTCACTATTGTTTTTTGTAATCAATGCCAGAAAGCTTGGTAACATACCTTTCAAGTCCAGTTCCAGCCAAAACATTCTTTTAGTAGATAGAGTGGGGAAAACGGGATGTACAGATACTTTTCGAGTACCAGTGCAGATACTTGGCATTTTCATGAGAACTACCAGGGCTGCAGTGGTTGCAGCTGGGACCTGGCTCTGGCACCTCACCACTGTCCTGAAATCATTAGTCTGTATTGTTTTAGAAAAACTGTCACATGACAATAAACAAAAATGTATCAGTACTCGTACTTGTAAGTACTCGGCAAGTACCAGTACTCGTACTCGCAAAACTGGTATCTGTGGATCCCTTTATTTATATTTATAAAAACAAAATCGTACATTAAAACAGAGATGTACAAATCCCAGGAGCTCGGTGTGCTCCTTACAAATGACAGCTGCCTCCTAATTTTTGAATTTTTCTCTAGTGTAGTCTTGGAGCTCAAAAGTATCGGTACGTGTACTCGTACTTGTACCGAGTACTGTACTTGGTATCTGTGCAACCCTAGGGAAAAGTTAATATTTCTGTCAGGTTTTCTATCCTGTTTTTGACCCTATCAGATTCTTTTCCCCCCCATCATGAAGGTACAGCTGTAGTTTCATTTAGAACATTCTGAATATATCAAATACATCTTTCCTGCTACAGGTAACAACCCTTCACACAGCAATGGTCCAGTACATGGTGAATGTCCTGATCTTATTATCTCCAGACTACTCCTCTGATCCCTCAGACACTACACATACTGGGTTTGGTGAGGAAGAGTTTGCTACTACAGTTCCTGTGCAGAATGTTCAAAAGCAAGCCCTTGAATTATCCGTCAAATTAAACAATTTCTCCATTTACATCATGAGGTAAGCTTATATCTGAATACAATATCCACAGCATACTGATCAAGTGGTTGTGGCCCATTTAAAGTTACACTACAGTCAAAATTGAAAATTAAGCCTTAAAATTCAGAGGAACAGCCCTGAAATATATACAGAAGAACATCCTATCTACTTTTGTTTTTCATCCAGACGTAGCTGTAGAGCACTAATCCATACTGGTCCTTTTTGTCAGTGATCTGGTAAATTTAGAACCCCTGCATGTACTATAGGAGAGGAATTCCCATCTATACTCACTGTAAGTTCCTTGCTGTCTTGTACAGGAAGCTTGGCGTAAAATAAACTTCAGTACAAAGAATTAACACACAGCCACCAATGAGGTTCAAGCCTGACTTATGATTGGTACAGAAAGCATAGAGGAAGGGAGTTGGACAGCTTCAGAAAGAACATTTCCAGTGGCTCTGTGATGTGCTTCCGGGATTCTGTATACAGAGTATTACGGAAAACTAACATTAAGGAAACCTGAGTGAACTTTCTGATTTAGCACAGTTGCAACATTTGGTGGATAGCATTATCATTTCTATGCAAAGGATCAACGAGACTACCTGGGAATGGGTAGGACCTACACTGATTTTCTCAGGTTTTTATTCTCCAGGAAGGGTACCTCTACTTCACTATTGTTTTTTGTAATCAATGCCAGAAAGCTTGGTAACATACCTTTCAAGTCCAGTTCCAGCCAAAACATTCTTTTAGTAGATAGAGTGGGGAAAACGGGATGTACAGATACTTTTCGAGTACCAGTGCAGATACTTGGCATTTTCATGAGAACTACCAGGGCTGCAGTGGTTGCAGCTGGGACCTGGCTCTGGCACCTCACCACTGTCCTGAAATCATTAGTCTGTATTGTTTTAGAAAAACTGTCACATGACAATAAACAAAAATGTATCAGTACTCGTACTTGTAAGTACTCGGCAAGTACCAGTACTCGTACTCGCAAAACTGGTATCTGTGGATCCCTTTATTTATATTTATAAAAACAAAATCGTACATTAAAACAGAGATGTACAAATCCCAGGAGCTCGGTGTGCTCCTTACAAATGACAGCTGCCTCCTAATTTTTGAATTTTTCTCTAGTGTAGTCTTGGAGCTCAAAAGTATCGGTACGTGTACTCGTACTTGTACCGAGTACTGTACTTGGTATCTGTGCAACCCTAGGGAAAAGTTAATATTTCTGTCAGGTTTTCTATCCTGTTTTTGACCCTATCAGATTCTTTTCCCCCCCACTTCCTGTCCTGCTGACACGCTATCACACCATGGTACACAGAGCGTCACTGGGAAAGGAAGTGAGGAGAAATTTCCCCAGTAGGAGCTCAATGACAACTGAATATGTTGCAATGACGGGGGCCCGCAAATGAAAGGAAATGTTCCCAACATGAGCAGAGCAACATAAATCTGACATAGGGTTTAACCTTTTCTCACTCTATCCAAACAAAATACCTTAAGCTAGAGTTGGGCTTTCAGTTAACATTTTTAGTTCTGGTTCAATTTCAGTTATCTTTTGTATCCTAGGTGTTGCCAGGAGATGGTGGAGAGCATTCCTCAGAATGAGGATGACGGTTATGAGCTGAGGCAGCTACAAACAATCAAGGTGTGTGATTACTAGTATATATACAGTATGTACGTACAATACCTGTATATATATTTACCCCTGATGCCCAACATGCAGTTCTTTGCTGCCCCCAGTAGTGGAAACATTGATTTGCTAAGGGTCTGTAATAGCAGTTAACTCTAGCAGTCTCAGGTAACATGTCCCCAGTCTCTATCTGTCGCCTGCTAGAAGGTTTCCAGTATTCAACAACACATGCAGCATGTCTTCAATCTTTGAGTAGTATATCTGCAGTCTCTAAAATCTTTAGCATTACATATACTGAATATTATGTGCAGCCCTTTGGTACTTTTAAAGGCTGCAGTTGAGGTCCCCTATTCCTCATAAATTGGCAACCCATACATTGCAGAATTATCTCCTGTCCTTACACACTATCTGAATATCAAGGAGGTCTCCTGGAGTGAGTATCCTATACAAAATGTTGAACCATTACCATGAGACTAGAAACACACAGAGTAATTTAGAAAAGGAAGAACATTTTAAATATGGAATCTTACGGGCTCCACGACAGGAGCATTGGGGTTGCACTGGCAGCTATTCCCAGCACATTCCCAATCCAATGATAAAGCAAATTGCCTTGTTTACAATCAGTTTGCCTTGGATAAAAGTATGGCATGCTGTCATTTTTTTTTCAGCACAGTGTGATGGGGCACAGAACAACTGCATTGCACTGCACGGTGGCTGATACAATTGAATAAAATGTCACTTGAAATGAATAGTGACATTTGAATAAAATTCAAAAAGTAAACAGTGCTCAGCGCTGTGATCGGCGCATCAGCACTGTTCCTTCTAGTGCACACCAGTGGCCATACATTTAAATCATGTGTATGTGGATCACAGTGCAGTTCTTTTAAGACTTGCAACAACAGGTTAACTGCTTTGCTGCATCCACAGGCTTTTACAATTAGTGTGTTAAAAAGGTTTACTATTTCTCTTTAAATAAAAAAGTTAATGTACATTTTTTTAAATCTTCCTTTTTTAATCTTTTTTTTTGTTGCATGTGTTCTTATTCATTGTTCTTCTTTGTCTTCATCATCTTTTACTTTACTTCGGCAGAGTTCATGTGATGAGTGGATTGAAACTTGCCGACTGCTTCTATCAAAAGTCAAAGATAAGAAAGGCCCTTCTGAGACAGCACAACACCCTCACATCAGTGAGACCAAGGTAGAATATTTGATATGTTTTTGTCAGTGTGAATAAGGATTGTGTGTGGTTAGGAATTCTTTTTTTGGGGTGTTTGAAGAAGCCAACATGCTATTTGCTCCAAAATTGATTCACACATACTGTAAATTGCTTTGCCCATACGTCTTAAGGTGGCCATACACTGTACAACCATCGCAAGACCCTAGTCTTGCGATGGTTGTAAAGTAATTAAAAAAACGTACGATCTGCCCATCTTGGACAGGCAGATCGTACTTGCGATCATCGCAAGCCCGCCCCCCTGAGGGGCAGGCTTCCAATGACCGCAATGCTGAACGGGCAGTGTGCGCACCGGCCCGTTCGGCATTTGTCTCCCGAGCATCATTCAAACCAGCCGAAAATCGTAAGATTTTCGGCTGGTTTTCTAGCATGCTCCTTAGACAAAAGACGTGCGACCGTACAGTAGAAACGGTCGCACGCCTTCATTCACACTGCACAATTCTCGTATGATCGCGGGATTTCCCGCGATTCTCGTACGAGAATCGTGCAGTGTATGGGGACCTTTACAGTCATCCTGCCATGGCGTGAAAAACTACCAAAGCTGATAGGTGCCTGCTTTGATCTTCAAAACATCTTCTGTGCTCTCCCACTGTACTCGTAGCTTGGGGTAGTATTTAGGTTATTACAAGTACACAATGATGCCCCTTTCCTTGTGTTTTTAGACTATACACCAATTCACTCTTACAAGGTGTTAATGAGATGGTACTCAACACCGGATAAGATATCTAAATTCTTCCCTGAGGCACCTCCCAACTGCCTTTGGAGCTGTGCCTCCCAGGGTACAATGCATCATATTTGGTGGGCTTGTCCTAAAGTACAGAAAATGTGGATAGGAGTATGTATTCTTTTCAGGTCCATACTGTGGCGAGTTGATATGTGACCCTTGGAAAGCGCTCTCTTATAGGAAAGTATGAAACATTACGATTTATGAACATGGTCCTGCCTCTGGTGGCCTCATGTTTTCCCACCATCCCTCTCTTTCATCTTAAACCTCTTCTTCTTTTGTTCATGTCTTAGCTATTTCCTCTCTTCCCTTCTCATCTATGTGTCTTTTCTCGTGGTTTTCTCTTCATCTCTATTCTTTTTTCTTTGATTGGCATATCATCCTTATATCATAGGGCATTCCGTGTGGTCGATGGTTACTTTTGTGTTTGCCAAACCCCTCCCCCCTTCCCCGTGTGCTTCATTGGGAGTTGTTAATGATTCCTCACCTTAGTCTACCTGGTCAGGCTGGATCAGGATGTATGTACCTTTTATGACTTCAGTTGCCCTTCTGATTTTCAGCCTGGTTTACTGAAATTCTTCCCTGCCTAGCTTTAATTTTTACTATGCTATGAATCCTTAATGCGTAACGTTGCCATTTTATTCTGAATCTTTACACTACTGCTTACATATCTTATAGTCTTTGTTTAACTTCTGTCAAAACTAATAACATTTATGTAAAAGTATATCATTCTTGCTTTATGAACTGTTATTACTTCCAGGATGTAAGCCTGATACTAGTAGACAGGAAGTGCCAGTAAATACAGAGGATGAGGGGCTTACAGGAAAACCCCTTCAGGGTGAAACACATACAGTAACTCTTGAGGTAGCACACAATAATCAAAGGTGGTCATAAAATATATTAAAATTGAGAAAGATATGCTAAACAAAGAAAATGTATATCAATTTACAAACAAAATTATAATAGAGTAAAATGGACATCTCATATATAGCTAATTTCTAAGGTTTTAATTGACTGCACAAAAATCATTCCATAAATGCAGCTTCATGCTATTTATTGTACCTCGGTCTGAAATGATCTCTGTATATGCTGTACTGCCTTTGATGTTAGAAAGGAAGCTTCTAATACACTCACTGTCCATCTCATCAGGTGATTAGATCTAATCAGAAGAGTTATTTCTGTGTTATCACACCTTCTATATCAGACTCTCAACCAAGGTACTGTGGCATCCTGGAGTGCCATCTGGCTTTCTCAGGGATGCCGCAAAGATTTTGCACTGTCATGCATTTCCATGGTGCTGTGGGATGTCCGCCAGCACCATGGGAATGAATTACACTAATCCAAGGCGGGTAGGATCCATACAGAAGAGGATGGAAGTTTGCCTCTACCCAGGTCTGCTCCCCCTCCAATCCACTGCCATGCAGCCACAGATCCTGATATTATGGTAGGACTCTCATGTGAAGGGGGGACTGAATACTCTGATGTCAAGGGGGGAGGGGGGGCACTGTTGTGAAGGAGGACTGAGGACTCTGATGTGAAGGAGGAGTCACTGATGGGAATGGGGTACCTCTTTTTTTTGCATGGGGTCCCCTCTTATCTCAGATATGATCTTTTGTGATGGGGGTCTCTTATGTGAAGAGTGGCGCCTGATATGAAAGGGGTGATTATGTGAAGGGGTCTCCTGGTGTAAGGGGGGAGCTTCTGATGTGAAGTTGGGCTCATAGTGTAAAGGGGGACTCTGGTGTGAAAGAGGTGGCCTCTAATGTGAAGAGGGGGACGTCACTTTTTTTTGTGCTTTTGCACCAGACCCCTATTTCAGATAAGGGTCTGGTAGGGATTGTGGATGGGCCACACATCTTTTTGTGTGTGCGTGTGTTTTTTTACATTTAGTCTGTGGTGCCTTGAGATTTTGCATTCTTTTCAAGGGTGCCATGACTAAAAAAAAGGTTGACGAAAGCTCCTATATACAGTATCTCACAGAAGTGAGTACACCCCTCACGTTTTTGTAAATATTTTATTATATAATTTCATGTGACGACACTGAAGAAATGACACTTTGCTACAACGTAAAGTAGTGAGTGTACAGCTTGTATATCAGTGTACATTTGCTGTCCCCTCAAAATAACTCAACACACAGCCATTAATGTCTAAACCGCTGGCACGGCTTTCTTCAGCATGACCCGCCCACCCGGTCCCTTCATTCAGAGATTTCACAGAGTATGCCCCCTTATTGGCATTACTGTCCATCCGGATCAAGGCACACCACAGGTCAGTATTGGGTTCAGTTGCCTATATGGCAAATGGATTCCGAACACAAATATATATATATATATATATATATATCTCGGCGCTCTGGTTTACTGCCATAGACCCAAGACTCCAGCTACTCACATGGCCACCACCGGACAGTGTCATAGATAAAAGTGCCCAGGAACACCTCTGATGTTGGAGAGATTAATCATAGTTGTATTAATAATGAAACATGTGTTTAATGATTTTAAATGCTCTGGAGTCTACAGGATAACTATGACATTCTATTAAAACAAATATAATTTTGGATTCTTTAACTAACATTACTACAAAGCTGTTGGCGTGATAGTCAAGCACACGTGCAGGTTTTTTCACAAGTGTATGTTAATATTGTAGGGTATGATACATGCTAACGGATCCAGTCTTCAGAATGGAGTGACATCTGAACATGACGTTGTAAAGATAATTGGTTATGATGGAAACATTTGCATGAAGAGCTTGAAAGATGAAATCCCTGTCACTCATGAGGTTAGACCATCTACCTAATATGATGTAGTGCTTAAGCCACCTCCCTACATTCAGTGTCTGATTACATATGTTTTTCCTTAATAGAGTGCTTTACAAGTTAGCAGGCCAACCACCTCAAAATCTATGCAAGCTTTTCAGTCCTTGACATCTCTGGAACAAATGGAAAAGAGACTTTTGTGAGTACATACAAATACCGTTTTCAGATTTATTATATAATGAGCTTGGTATGGTCTGAGTCAGTAGGATGTTACAAAAAGGGAAAAAACCCCCCCACAAACTGTTGGAATTAGGATTGGGTGAAGTAATCAAAATTGTGTAGCCTTACACTGCAAAGAACAACACGATTGCAGTTAAATCATTTAAAGCAGAACCCCAGACAAGTAGCTAAGCAGTTAAAATATACATATGAAAACGGTTGTATTTGCCAAAGGATTTGTATTTCTATGTGATTATGAAAGGCTGAAATCTAGGCAAATTCAGGTATTTATACTAGTTGTCTTTAAAGAGAAATAATTGGAGTTTTCCAAATTAACCCTTGCACTGCAAGGGTTAAGTGCTTGTTTTGGTCTAGGGGTAAAAATAAAGAAAATATACTCATCAGATCTTTAGCCCCTCCTGGCTTCTAGACCAGTCCCCACAGCCTTTTCTCCCCTGTGAGAACTTCATGTCTAATGCAGGTCCATTACATGTGAGGGCACCAAAGGACATACAACAGCTGGAGCAGATCGGGGGAGAGGGGAGCTCTGACTGCCGAGGCTCAGGTGAGTATATCTTCTTTTTCTCTATCGTCCATTGAGGGACACAGGGCCGCGGTGGTGTTCGCTCTCTAAGAATGTATATCTTTTGCCTCATATTACGCAGAGTGGTCATTTTTAGCAGGGGAAGCCGGGGATCTCTGAATTTCTTCACATACACATTGCCGCAGTTATACTGCTGTCTGCAGATACCATGCCTCAGCTATTTGAGGTTTTTCTCTCTTCACCGCGGTCAGGGCCATGAGTAGTTCTGAGGGAAATTGTGGCATTTTTATTTCATCTGTATTTCACAGATATGTCTATTTATAAACAGAAGGGTAAGTAGGCCTTTCTCTTTAGTAGTTGTTTGTAAAGTAGAGATTGTGATGGTAATGAGGTCTGGGCATCTCAATATTAATTAGAACATTCAATTTCTGTCTCATTAAAGCTTATTGAAATTCATCACTTCTAGATATAAGTAAATCAGATCACCCAACAAATAGACGGTCTGTTTAAGCGAGTTTGGAAAGCTTAAATTTTCCCTTTATGGCTTTCATTAATTGGCCCAGGCCTAGCTGTTTATTGGTACCAATCAGAAAACTTTGAAATGATAAGTCAACAGCCAGCACATCTCCTACAGTTTGCTTGGTCTGCAACAAAGGAATGCTTGGTATCTCCCTCAGGCTAATAAACAGAAGTTCCAATCTAACACAATATTCATAACTCCAGCCTTGGGGGTAGTACCTTTTTAATAAATATGTATATAGCTGTGTCTCTTCAAATGAAATCTGTACATACTAGACATGAGTGGTTTAGGAAGGCCAGAGGCCTAAAAACGCACATTAACCCTCCTGAGCCAGCCATACTTCCCAAAGATGCCAAGTTTGGTGTCTATGGCAAGCTAATTTCATAATACACACTGATATGTGGTTTATCCGATGGTAAAATATGGACACAGGGTTGTTACTAAATTCAGTTTGGTAGGGGCCGGAGAGTGTATCATAAACCCCTCAGCCCTCCTATTCTGCTCGCTGAGCCCTCCTGATTGGACTAGGGGCCGGCTCAGTGACACCCCCAAGAGGGCTCACGAAAAGCGGCTGTGCAAGGCAGCCAGAAGCTCGTCATAAAATCAAAAGAGGCTTGTGTACCATCAAAGAAGAGCTCCCCTCTTGCAAGCCTTGCAGTCTGGACTATGCTAGAACTGACAAAAACAGGACTTGTTAAGTACTCTCCTATTTATTTCCATTTATTGTACTGTTATTTGTCTCTTTGTAACATCCTTTTTCTGGGTATTTTTCAGGCACTGTTTTTTTTATTAAAAATGATCTTTTAAACCGGTTAAGCTTATCTCTATGCTCTAAATAAGAACTTAAAAGTATCCTTGTATCTTTAAAGAGTGCTAAAAACCGCCGTGAAAAACCTGTAATGTTCCCGTCTGAAAGGACAGTAGCATCATAGGCATTGTTTACATTTCTGAAGGAAGCCATGTATATGCCCAGATCCTGGTGGTGGGAGACTCCATCATCAGGCGGACTGACAGGGTAATCTGTCATCAGAACCGTGAGCGTCGAACAGTGTGCTGCCTACCGGGGGCCCGTGTTCGACACATTGCGGAACGAATTGACAGATTACTAGATGGGGTTGGGCACGACCCCGTTGTCATGGTGCACATCGGCACCAATGACAAAATAGGAGGAAACTGGAGTGTCCTAAAAAGGGAGTTTCTGGAAGTAAGGAGATTAAGGGGGGACATGATTTTCATGTACAAAATGTTCTATAGTCATAGCGACATTAGCAACAAACTATTTACGACTAATTACGTAACAAAGACTAGAGGCCACCACCTGAAACTGGTAGAAAAAAATTCAAACACAAGGGGCGGAGGGGGTTCTTCTCAGTTCGAGCGGTTAGGGTCTGGAACTCACTGCCGCAAGCAGTAATTTCAGCTAATAGTGTGGAATCATTCAAGAAGCTTTTGGACGATTTCCTGAGAAACGGTAATATACAGGGGTACAGGTACTCCTAATAACGAGATGACACAGGGACCCACACACACACACACACACAATAGGTTGGACTTGATGGACATGTGTCTTTATTCAACCTCAAATACTATGTAACTATGAATTGTCACAGCGTTTGCTGGGAACGTTGTTTCCTTTAGAACATGGCAGCTGTTATTTGGTGTAAAAGGTTAACTGCAGAGTTAACCAAACCCCAGTGACGTTTGCGGTCAGTCTGCTGGACAGGACAGTGGTGACAGGCTTTTGGCAGATGTGTAGGCAAAATCTTTTGGAAAATGAAGGACTACCAGGCACTCTACGTGACTTAGGAAGCCATGTATATGCCCAGTAGATCCATCCTCCTGGCTGCCCCTCCTTTCAAGAGAGGGAGGGGGGTTGGGGCTGTATTTAGTATGTGTCTGGAGTTCAGCTTTAAAGATTTCTGAATGGTTGTTGCACTGAACAAATGACAATTTCTCTTTGCACTGGTTCATAGAAGAGGCCAACAATACTTTATTTGATGTACAAAATGACTATCAGATTTATTATTATCCACTCTTGTTATCTTAAAGGCATGCAGAGATGAGGGCTCAAAAAGCCGAAGAACGATCCGAGGATCTGGATGAGCAATTAAAAGCAGCACTGCAGAAAATACAAGAGCTAGAAATCAAATATCAAGAAGATGAAAACAAAGTAGAGGGTACAAATTTACACCTGTATAACTTGCATACGAAAATAACACCCCTATATACATTTTCCAAAAAACCTTTAGAAAATCATAGCTATGCTATTCATTTACCAAATTGCTGTAATGTTTCAGTTTAAAGTGTACCTATGGCCCAAACTTTTGTTTTTCATTTATGGTAGAGTTGAAAAGGGTTAAAGTTGAACACTAATTTTGGCTTCCCTCCAGCCTTTATTGGGGTTTTACATCATTTTCAGGCCTAAAATGTGGAATATAACATGGGTGCAAAAATTGAAAAAAGGGCCTCAGTCATGAAGGGGTTAATCAATGTCCATACAGGTCCAGATTAAAGGTGAGTATTACAACAGAAGGACGTTACATGTCCTGGGCTAGTCATTAGAAAACTAGATATCAGCTTTAAAACTAAAACCCCGGTGTGTCATGGGGATGCTACCGGAGGTGAGAGGAAATATCTCCAAAATTAGGAGAATGCCCCATTAGTTGTCACAAAAACAAGTGTCCCTATTAAAAGATATCCCCACTTCATCTTCCATCTTGTTCTCTAAAATGTTGAATTTCACATTTTTTACCAGGGCAAATAGGGAGGGGGAATCTCCCTCGAGCGGACACAAAAGCAATAAAAATGTACTGCTCTATTCAAAACTAGAAAAAAAATTATCTTTGGCTATGTATACACTTTAGGGTTACTCCATTAAAACCGATATGGGGGGTTTGAAGTAATTTTCAGGTCCAAAATGAGGATTATAACATGGGTGCAAAAAAACAGCATTGGTCATAAAGGGGTTAATCCATATACACACTGTTTTTCCAGCTGTTTTCTGGCCGGTCACTTAATGCTTGGGGGAGACTTCTTCAGGTCTTCTCTGATGGTGGGCAGTCCTAAGTCCCCGTTCACACCTAGGTGTTCTGTGAATGTGTGGCAAACGCACACAAAAACTCCAGGTTGGGCTGCTCTTCGCAGCAATGGAACCCCCCGAAAATGAATGATTCCATATACACACCTTTTTCCAGCTGTTTTCTGGCAGGTCACTTAATGCTTGGGGGAGACTTCTTCAATGGTGGGCAATTCTTAGTCCCCGTTCAGAGCAAGGCCTTCCGTGAACGTGTGGCAAATGCAAAAAAAAAATGTGCTTTGATGTGTGTTGGCAAAACGCATAAAAAACATGTTTTCCTGCATTTTACATGGAACGCATGTCACAGATTTTGCTGCATATACTACTATCCCATGTGTGTTGCACGTGCAGGAACCCATTAAAACCAATAGGGATTGGTGGCAAACGTGGAAACAAAACATGCACTAAGGCCCCGTTCACACCAAGGCGTCAGCGTTTTTGCGCGTTTAGATATCCCCCGCCACATGCCTACCCAATGTAACTCCTTTCCAGGTGCTGCAGTAACTTGCGCATGGCACTGCATTTGAAGTAGAAAACAATGTCAGCAGTACACCTAGGAATCTTCATTTAATAATGCCTTTCTTAACGTTCATTCAGAATATCAAAAAGCAATGTTTCAGGACTTTGTAGGGTCCCTTCATCAGGCAAACGTGACAAATAAGTGCAGACAACATACCAAACATATATACCAGTGTGAAATACTTGCCTTCTATGACACCATAATGAAGAAGTCCTCTTCCCACCATGATGTAGTAAACATAAGCAAATGTATAGAACAATCCAGCCCAATAAAGGGACCTTGCAAGAAATCAAATGTTGCCATTTTTGATATGGTGAACTAACATCAACAAAGGAATGACTTGATGTAGATTTATAGGTGTGCTGGTGACATATGTTTTACTTGTTTGACAGACTGGACTTAAAGTAAGCAGGTTGAAGGATGTTCGGTGTCTTTAAACCCAGAAGACGAGCAGTGCTGGAACACAGAGAGGATATGTTTGCAGGGCACAGTCCTAGAAAGGAGCAGAATTATACAGCAAGAGATACTTTATGTTCAAATTCGCTTGACAATCAGATTTTTATTTTTCCTAAAAACTATAGTCCTGTACTTTTAGTAGTTTCCCTTAATAGGTTGGCCCTCCCATTATCCTTCAAATCTTACATTTATCTATCCCCGTTCCTCGGCGATCTTTGCTGTGCAGCCTCCTGAGTGCATTGTGATTGTGGCTTGCAGAAGTGGCAGGGCCTGGCCAAGAGGCAGACCTTTGAAGAAGAGGATGTGTGGTGTCCAGAAGGATTCATAGAGTAGAGACTGGGAAAGGGGGGGTGCAAACCTATAAAAGATAACCATAATAAACCTGTCCTTTTCATTTGTCATATTCTGGGGTATTTCTGATTTTATTACCTCCAAAAAATAGCCAGTCAACAATGTACATCTCTCCCATCTTGTTCTATATGTTTGGTTTACATATGATATCAACCTTATTTTGTTCCTAGAATCCCCAGCTGCCAAAGAAGTTATGAATGAACCAGTTCACCTTCCAGCTCCCACCAAGAAGAGACCCAAATCAAGCAAAGTCAAACAACATAAATGAATATATACATCACTTAAAGCTGATCTCCAGGCAGACATGAAAAGGAAACATCATGTAGTGCAATAATGCCTAAAGTTAGTCTAACAAAGATAGATGCTTACAGGAGGGGAAAGCACTCCATCTCTGTGAGTAGCCAATGCAGACATACTTCAGTGGTGGTCCTTCCAGCAGTTTATACTTCTCCCTGGTGGCATAGGTGTGTATATACATCACAACAGCTACCAAAAAGTATATTTAATACTTTGGCAGTTTAAAAGTTGATGAAAATGTATTAAAAATGTGGTAGTTTTATTTTTTTACATGCACTTCAACTATTTAGCTTTTGGTTAGGGTTCACCTTTAGGCCTCATTCACACAGCTAAGAGCCACCCCATACAGATCCGTGCACGGCCGTATCTGGCCACTCCCGGGTACGAAAGGTGCTGCGTGTGATTGTACGCAGCAACCTGTTCTTCTCTATGGGAGTACGCGGCCGTACGCTCACTCGAGCTGCACATCCGTGCGGGTGTCTGTGCTCGGACACAGACAGGATCCATACTGTCTGTGTCCGAGTACAGACACCCGCACCCACACTGATGTGCAGTTCGGGTGAGCGTACGGCGGCGTACTCCCATAGAGAAGAACAGGTTGCTGCGTACAATCACACGCAGCACCTGTCCTTCCCGGGTGCGGCCAGATACGGATCTGAATGGGCTGGCTGTTAGTCGTGTGATTGAGACCTTAGTATACATAATATGCCTGTGTATTATGTTTATAAAGCACATGTGTGTTTGTGGATATTAAAAAACTAGAATGTTCACCCTGGCCGTAAAACTAAAATCCAATATGAGCATTATAACAATTTTAACTGTAAAATCTATACATAATCTTGTTTCAGTTTTCAGGAAAATGCAATTCAGCGGACAAAATGGTTATGGTACGAGTTAGAAAGAACTTGTCAATACAAATAAGTACAAAGATTTGATTATATGGATTTGTTGAAGCTATCATGATTTTGAGCCAATTTTCTTTAGGTTTATACATTTTTACTGTGATGATTTAGATTGGTGTATATGCACACACACAAACCATTTTAATAATTAACATTTCAAACTCAGCAAAGGATTCCTAGAGCACTGTTGGATAGCAAACAATGCAGCACAACAAAAGCCCCTCTCTGTAGGAGACTTCAGTCTGAGCCATCTAAGATATGAAGGGGTTGTGTGTCTGTAAGCTTCCAATTTAAAGATTTTCTATAAATATTCAAAATGTAATATGTGTTACTTAATCAAAAAATAAGAGAGACAATTACAAACACACAAATATTAAAACTAGGGATGCACCGAAATTTCAGGTTGCAAATGGTACATCTCCTATCCAGTGGACCTGCTGTCCCCGAACCTGTCACAAAAGATGAGTGACACCATTGAGGTCCTTATTGACTAGGGCACAGAATGCCTAGCATTAGAATCACCTGCGCAGAATCTCCCAAGGTCTCCAGTACAAGTTCCCTTAACTACCTCCGGGCCGGCCGTAATAAAAAAACGGCCGGCCAGGAGCTCTCTCGATCTGAGTGGGCGTCTCTAGACGTCCGCTCAGACACGCCCCCTTGCGCGCGCCGTCATTGCCGGTATTTAAAAACGGGCAGCGATGCCCGTTAATATACATGCGATCCGCCGGCTGTAGAGCCGGCCGATCGCATGTATGGGGTGCCGATCGGGTGCCCCCCCCCCCTCGGGGGCGCATACGTGCAAAAAAGACGATTGCGCCCATCACGCCGCACGTTACATATCGCCGCGAACGTCGCAGTGAGAGCAATAAGTTTAGGTCCATCAATCACTGATAACACTAAACTGATGAGCGGTAAAAACATTTAAAGTGTCGCCTATGGCCAATTTTGGTTGCCGTCGTTTTCTGCGATGTCGCGGGTGCGCACAATTTTAAAGCTTGACATGTTTGGTGTCTATTTAACCGACGTGACCTGATCTTTTATATTTGACCAAAAAACTGGGTAATAATAAATTTTCCTAACAATGTTACAAAAAAATTTTTTTTTTCAAAATTTTCAATAATTTTTCCTAATTATAATAAAAAATAAAACCCGCAGTGGTGATTAAATACCACCAAAAGAAAGCTCTATCTGTCCCCAAAAAATGGTATAAAATTCATTTCAGTACAGCGTTGCATGACGGAATAAACATCAGTCAAAGTACCACAGCGCTGAATACTGAAAAATGGCCTGGATGGGAAGGGGGTCTAAACACCTGGTCTTGAAGTGGTTAAAAGAGGAATGCTAGGAATTGTAAAAATGAACCCTTGCAGTGGGAGTACTCCCACACTGCAAGGGTTAACTGCTCATTTTGGTTTGCAGCTAAAATAAAAAAAGATACCCGATCTTCGGTCCTGCCTGGCTGCTAGACTGGTCCCCATAGCCTCTTCTCTCCGGTGGTCTAAGGCAGTGTTCCCCAACCTTTTTATCGCCGCGGATCGGTCAACGTTTAATAATTTTATTATGTGATCAAAGTAGATAGATATTAATTAAGTGTCTCGTTTAGGAACCTACAAGTGATTTATCTCTGTAATAAAAAGATATGTAATCTCCATGATTTGTTTGTGAAAAAATTCCAATAAAAACAACAAAAAAGTCTGTGGTCTACTTTGTTGTTTTTATAAAACTTTATTGGAATTTTTACAAACAAATCATGGAGATTACATATATCTTTTTATTACAAAGATACATCACTTATAGGTTCCTAAATGAGACACTTAATAAAAAAAACTACTATTCGCCCCTTACACCCAACCCCCCCCCCCCCGCGCTCGGACTTACCCAGCCAGGGAGTTTTCGATGTGTGCACTGCAGGGGGCGGGGCGTGTGACACACATGCCTCCTGTGACTCACCTCCCCTCCCGCCTCCTGTTACTATGGACGCGGCCGGGAGGGGAGTCACAGGACCCGCCCCCTCACTGTGATGCCTCACTGTGCACTGCCCCATATTGCAGGACCGCACTGAGACTGTGCGGCCCGGTACCACTGGTCTAAGGAACCTAATCCTAGGGATTTCCAGGTTAAGGAGGAGTTATATATGAGGGTCCTCATGGGTCTGGCCCGTTTCCAATCAACTGATGATACCTGTATATTACCTCGTCATCTGTGGCCTGTTCTGCACTCCATGAAACAGATTTCACTGACAAGTCAATTTTATTTCCTGAAACACCATACAAGACACAGAACACTCCCCCCCCCGTTCTCATCTCCCCATTGCCGGTTACAAAAATGAGGCTTTCTGTTAGAGAGCGGGGTTATATGAGGGCTATCCCTGTAGTCTTTCCCTTTTGCCTGGTCTGATGCGCTGAACCAGGGAGGATTTTCCTGCTGTATTGGCTCTATTTATGCAGAAAATGGCTTATCCCTTGAGACAAGTGGCTGCTGGGGTGGCAAGTAGGCCCCTTTCTTACCCCCTCTGAGAGCAAGGTCATCAAAAGAGTTCTGCGGGCATCAGACGTTTCCTCTTTTCCTTCCCTTTATAGAAGCTAAACATCTCCATTTGTTTGGAGTTTTGTTTAATAAATCCACTGAATGAATGGAAGCAGAAATCCCTTTATTTTGATTTAAACAACTGAACAAATACAATTTTGCTTGGTGCATTTAGTATCAAGGAGAAAGAAACACGGCAGAACAGTTGAAGAAAATATTACAGGTAAACATGTAACAAAACGTGTTTTGAACCTTTTGCCTGAATATCGGAGTTTTTTTTTTTTTTACTTTTAGGACGTAGAGTGGAAAGATTTCCCATGTATGCCCTTCCTGTGCTAATTCCACCTTCTCACGTCCATCGATGGTCGTTCCTTTAAAGGTATAGTCCACCTTCTGAAATAAATAAATAAATGCACACACATTAATAAGAAAAACATGTGCATTTATTATTTTTTTTGCATTTTAGCCAGCAAAGCATTACAACCATGCTACCATTGGTGATTGTTTTTCTTCAGGGCCCAGACTTGGAAAGCAGGTCGTGGGTTTACATGGCTAAAAAAAGGAAGTGCATCTCTGGGAGATGGAAGGCTTAGGGCTGCTTGGCAATGCTGTTAAAACAGCTTAGAGGCAAAGGATTCCAATGGGAAGATCCTATCCACTTGGCCATGGCCAACACGTGTAAGCTTCTTTTTTTCATCCTTAAAGGTGAAAAGCTCTTTAAAGTTCTTCAGTTAACTATACCTAAAGGAATCTGCTTTTTTTAATACAATAATCCAGATACCCCAGATTCCCAAACCTGGATTGTACTAAAAGTAAACATTTGGTAAAGTTTTGGTTGATCACTATTAGAACATTGGTTGCCTATGTGCAAAAAAAGGGTATTCAGTCTTGAGTCCCAAACGCATCTGAAGCCCTAAAGCAGGGGTAGCCAAACTGCAGCCCTCCACAAATCCCATGATGCAACTCTCTCCGGGAGTCATGTCTGTGGCAATGCCTCATGGGATTTGTAGTTCCACCACAGCTGGAATTTGGCTACCCCTGCCCTAAAGGATTATTCTCAGAAGAAAGATTTATTTTTAAACCTGTTTTTCTATACATCACAGCATCTTATGACATAATTCCTACCAATCAGAAATGTTTAGTATTTATTACAAACATATCAGGAAATAACATTGCTCCATTATTATGGCATCTATCATTTTCTCACAGGCAATAGCACATCCCCATTGCAAAGCTGCTTACTTTTGCTCAGAGAATGACACCGGGTCTATGAGATGTCTCTACTCAACACCCACCAACCTTTGCCTGAACGAAAAAACTAAAAGGTCTTCTTGGGTAAAGGTATAATAATAAAAAAAAAAACCACATTCCTTAAACTTATATCATCTCTCAAAGAGGCTTCCTCCATACTGCTACAAGCAGCAGAAAAAGAACCTTAAAGAGGCACTGTCACCTTGACCATTAAGGGCAAAGTGACAGTGTTTGTATAAAGCCTACCCCCGTCCACTTTATGCTCATTTCTCCTTTGTCGCAGCCGCCATCAAAATCAGGGCTCGGGGGAAGCGGT